ACAGAGGTTTGTTTTTGTGAAAAGTGGGGACATCCCATAGGCATAATGTTTTTTTATACTGTACAGGCCGTATATTCTATTGCCCTACACCAACCCTACCCCTAAACCTACCCCTCACAGGAAACTTTGTGCTATTTCAGATTTTCAATACACTCCATTCTGTGTGATTTATAAGCGTTTTGAAAAGTGGGGACATGGGGTAATGTCCTGAAAAGTCACCTTCTCCTTGTAATACCTATGTCATACCCTTGTCATTATACAAATTTATGTCCCCATTTGTCACAAAAACGCGCGCACACACACACTCACACACATACACACACAAACACACACACAAATACACACACACACACACTCCTTCTTTGATGAACTGCTGCTGGTTGTTGAGCAGGTGTGAGTGAAGCTGTCTTTGTGTGTTCAGTGCAGCAGGGGCGGGGCATTGTGAAATGTGGGCTGGACTGGAGGCGGAGCTTAGCAGCACTCAACTTTAGAGTGTGTTCTAATTTAAATATAAGCATACTAGTTACTGCGTACTGTGCTAATGTTGTTTAAATTATATTTTGTACATCAAATATTTACATTTTAACAATTTTTTTTATTCTTTTATATTTACTTTTTTTAATTTATTTTTTTATGTTTGATCTTTGTGATTTCATTAAAAAAGTTCTTTGTCAGTAAAACGCAGTTAGCTACCGCTGCATATGTATGTTTTATATATTTATTATTATATTATATTTTATATTTACTTTTTTACATACATTTTTCTTCCATTTGATCTTAGCAATATCTTGATAAAGGTGTCTTTGGCAGTTAAGAGTAGTTAGTTACCTCTACATACTTGTGTTTAATATTTATATTTTTAATATTTATATTTAATATTATATTTTTAGTAACTTATTTACATTTTTTAAATGTTTCTACCGTTTTTATCTTAGTAATGTCATAAAAAAATACATCTTTGGCAGTAAAAAGTAGTTAGATACCTTCTACATATATATGTTTAATATTTACATTAATATTATATTTATATTTAATATTATATATTTTTACTGTTTTATATTGACATTTTGTTCTCCTGTTTGATTTTAGTAATGTCATGAAAAAAACCCATCTTTTTTTATTTTATATTTACATTTTTTTTAAACATTAATAATAATTTTTTTATTATTGTAATTTTATTTTATTTTATTTATGTATTAAAAATCTTAGTAATGTAATGAAAACCACATCTTTGGCAGTAAAAAGTAGTTAGCTACCTCTGCATATTTCTGTTTGATATTTCCTAAACTTTACTGCTGAGAGTGTCTTAAATACAGGATAGTTTAAAAATGAACCATAGTCTGAAATAAAATCTCAGATATACAATACTCAAGTTTTTTCTTTTTCTTTTTTTTTAAAGAAAATTGAACGTTGAATTGTTCTTGTAATGTAATTTCAAATAAATGATAGCATTATGTGTACCAGTATGCAGTATGTCACAATAAACAGTTCAAACAGTGGTATGAAGTAACGTCTCAGTTTCGTATGGTAACCCTCGTTCCCTGAAGGAGGGAACGGAGACGTCACGTCGGATGACCGACGAATTGGGATCTCGCTTAGAGAGACCAATCTACTTCGAGTGTAAACTAAATGAGCCAATGCACATTGGCATGCGATTATTGCATCCAGCTGCCGCTGATCACAGCGTGAGTATAAGTAGGCAGCAGATGCAGCGCATATTCAGGTTTTCGCTGAGGAGCCGAGCCGGTGACCCGGCCGCTCAGCGGTGGTACAGGAGCTGTGGCGACGGGACGTGACGTCTCCGTTCCCTCCTTCAGGGAACGAGGGTTACATACGTAACCGAGACGTTCCCTTTCAGTCGGTCACTCTCGACGTCACGTCGGATGACCGACGAAATTGGGATCCTACCAAAGGGCCACAGCTACTGCCCCTTCCAGTGTCCTGTGGAAGCCACCTGCGCCCCTACTTTTTGGCGTAGGCCAGGGCCTGCACAAGAGGACCAGCTACTGCTACTATGGCACTACCCACTGAGTAAGACTGGATAACCAAACAAAGAGTGAAAAATTTAAGGGGGTCTGAATACTTTCCGTACCCACTGTATATATATAATTTAATAATCTAAATTATTGCATATGTGCCAATTAAAGGCTTATTTCATATTAAATGTATATTTAAGATGTATATATATATATATATAAATACATTTTTACATACATATTAAACATTAAATTAAACATTTTAATGATTATTTATTTACATGAAATAATAAAGTAAATTAAAATTTAATTAAATATTTAAATAATAAATATATATGTACTTTAAAAATGTGTGTGTGTGTGTGTGTGTGTATTTATTTTATAAATGACTGTCAGCTACGACTGTATCAAATCTATTGCATGTCTTGATCTGTGTCAGATTGTGGTAACGACAGACAGTCTGTCTGTTTTCTTTTTTCTATTTTTGCTTCTCCAGGACGGTCCGCTCTATGCCACAACAAATCTTTCAGAAATAAAAAAAAAAAAAAAAGATGGGAAAGAAAAATAAACACAGGATATTGCTGTTTTTGCAGCGTCGCTCCGTTCAGGGAGTCAGATGACACGCTCTCCATCTTTTGTTTTTAAGCGAGGTCACGTTAAACGACACGCCGGCGTGTTTATTTAGTTTGAGCTTGACCTCTGACCCCCCGTCATTCCCATCAAGCCCTTATTAGTGAACATTAAAATGTTTTGTTGTAATTGCACGTCAGATCATTTCACTCTTCTGCAGCATTGGCCCAGTGTTAGTGTTGTTAGTTGCGTTTGACATTGGTTTTGATGAGGGATTCTTATTTTGATTGGGGTTTTTTGGTACGTAATTCTGTGAAATTGGTGTAATGTGGAGGTAATTGGAGGGAATGAATAAATAAATGTAAATATTAGTGTAAACACTGAGAGCAGATGGAATTACTGTTATGTTTATTCGGCCAGCGGTTCCATCACTGAGTTGGAAAAAGCATCACCCTCTCCTAAAAATGACTTGTAAACTCAGTCAGTTGTAGCGAATCACCTTCTCAATGGCACACAAATGTCCTGTTCTGGGTGTTTCTCTGCAGCAGCGACTGGAGCACTTCAGGATAGAAGGAAACATGGATTCTTGAGGAAAATCTGCTGCCCTCTGCTAGAAAGCTGTCAATGGAAAGAAGGTTTACCTTCCAACATGACAATGACCCAAAGCACACAGCAGAACTGACACACAGTGGCTGAAGGAGAACATTCTGATTCTTTTCTATACCCACTGTAGGTATATCTATATAAAGAAATACATTTAATATAAAATATTACACTTTGTAAGCTGATGAAACATGCTCTCCTAAAATGAATCAGTTCGTATGAATCAAGCAGTTCAAAACAATGATTTACAGATTCACTTTACATGAGAAGCAAAAATGCACAAAATAGTAAGAATATATTTTTATATATTATATATAAATATATATTTTTCTTACCTCATTGTTATTTTTTCTTATTTTAAACAAAAACCTCATTAGATGATTATATATATATATATATATATATATATGTGTGTGTGTGTGTGTGTGTGTGTGTGTATTTTGTGCTGAA